GCGGTGCCCCCTCCCTGGCCGGCGTCCAGAACCTGGGCGCCCGGTCGCCCAGGGAGGAAGTCAGACCTGGTTGGGATCCCTGACGTCCCCCCCGCCCTCCCCAGGTGCCCAGGTTAGTCCTGAGGGTACAGAGTCTGCCGCCTGGAGCCGCCCCCTGGAGCCTTCCCGCCTCAGCTCTCTCCACTGGGCAGGGCGCCCGGTCCAGGTGCCCCAGGGCGGGCGCACTGTGCCTCCTACTTTTTCTGTCTCTGCCCATCTTCCTCCTCCCCCAGCCTTAACCAGGTGCCTGCCTGGCACTTAGGATACTGCCCTTGAGTAATAGTTATGGAATTAAACGGAACTGAAAAGATTTCAAGGATTTTGAATAGCGATTCCCAACATTTTTCATCTCATGGCACATATAAACTAATTACTAAAACTTTGCGACACACCAAAAAATATATTTTTTGCCGATCTGCCAAAAAAGTAGGCATAATTTTGATTGATTTACAAAAAATAAAAATAAATAAGAGTAATTACCTACCTACCCTATTTGCTCCAAAGTGACTTTTTAAAAAACCAGGTGCTTATAAGAGTATATAAGAGTTTCTGGCACCAAGAATTAACCAATCAGATGCAACCTTATTATGTGACATGACCAATAGATATGCTCTATTGTATGACCTATATACTAATATTTATGGTTCAAGACTCCACAGCTATTGTGTTGGCTGATGTCATTTTTTTATTTGACAATCTAAGGGAAAAGGGCTCAGTGCCCCTGACTAAACAGTCAGTTTTTTGCATGTTTTAAAAATCCTTATGGCACACTGGCTGAAAATCACTGATCTAGAGTCATCCCTGAGTTCAATTGAAATGGGGGTGCGAGAGTGGATGGGGTGGCGCCAGGCTAGGAACTTATCCTGGCTTCTGGTGGGGGCAGAGAAAAGCCCCATTAGCAAGGTCACAGGTTTAAGGAAGCAGGCACAGTCTGCGGGGGCCCTCTGCCCCCCAAATGCATCCCTCCCCACAGGGCTAGAGCTGAAGATGTAATCCTTAGGTGCAAAATTTAAGGGAGTGCCAAGGAACTCCGTACTCTAAATAAATAACATTTTAATGCAAAAATTTTTAAAAATTAATGCAAAAATTCATGTTGAAGAAAATATCAAATTTGTAAATGACGGCTGAATCCATAGCAGACCATATGGGAGCCTGAAACAAAAGGAAACCTCAGTAATACCGATTCTGTCTAGTAGCCCTTAGGACACAGTCGTTGCGTTCATTATTTTCACTGCCCGCTGAAGCACGCTGTTAGGATGGCTCACCAGGAAGGGGAAAGGCCCCAAATGCCCAATAGGGAAGAGAAGGCTCTAGACTGGGAGAAGGTGCCTCAAGCTGTGGAAAACCAGCTGTGCCTGTCAAAACCAGCCTGGAGCTGACACCTAAACCACGTGAG